ATTATCACTTCCACATAAATCACATTGGATACCAACATCATTCTGTTTCTTCTCGAATTCAATTTCTACTTCGAAAAAGTTTGTAGTTTCCATGAGGAAGGTGTCATCCTTCTCTTTTTCATTGTTTATGTGTACTTGGACACTAATTTTCCTTTCATTTCGCGCCAAACGCCTTTGATGCCGCTCCTTCTTTTTTTGATGCAAACTAGAATTTTGGTCAATCCATGGGAATCGACTTGGCACTGCACATTTTTTCAACACAGGCCTGGCTGGAATAATAATTCAATAAATATAATGTCATAATGAAATCATTTTTGATAAGGCAAGTACTAAAAAACGTTTACACTACATCATTGAAGGTTAGTCGCGCACAGATATAATCAAGGTGACTTAACTGAAGCTTATCATTATAAATAAGTACAAAATATTCTTACGTTTTTCTAATACTGAGTCCTTCGGTAGCTGGTAATCATCCTTTGTGAAGTGGCTTTTGCAAACGAGGCTATTTTTCGTTGGAGTAAATTTATCTCTGCGAATGGCTACAAGCCACTGTTTTAATCGGTTTTTATCTTCTGTAGGGAACTTATGCCCTCCTTTTTTATTTGCACACATAGGCACTGCACAACACTGTGGCATTTTGGAAAACAATATTCTGTTTGTAACGTTTTTAAGGATAAATAAACCAAAAAAATGATCGAAAAATATAAATCGTGTAAGTGTTTTGACAGGTAGTTGGACCTGACACTACAGCGCTGCCATCTCACGGGGAACATTTCAGAAAACCCTCATTAAAAAATAACGGGGATACAAAAGCAAACAGCAAACAAAAATAATAAACACAGGTTATCAATAATATGTTTGTTCCTATTTCAAAATAATGTTCTATTTTTAAACATTTATATCGTCTACAAAATGGGCACACATAGATAATAATATTTGTAATTGTTTGTATTTTAAAGAGGATTTTATTTAGGTACTCTATTGTGGAGTTTTGAAAAAATGCCTTAATAAAACTTTAAAACTTTTTTTTTGTTAAACAGTCTAGTTTTAGTATGTTAGTTGCAGTAAATATGTACAAATTGTTAGATTTCATGTTCAATTGTAAGATAACATAAGTACAATGTTTATTTGAGGAATTTTATCCCGATCATAGACTCTATTTATTGGTTTAAAGAAATAGCGACTGTCTCTTATTAGTATCTTTAGTTGGTTCGTATCCCAGTTAACGCTTTTAAAAAAATATTTTGGATTGTGTTTATTCTTATTTTAAAAAAACAAAGGAATGTTTCCGTAAAGTGAAACTTTATATCATAAATATTTAAAGTACTATTAGTCCATTTCCCGTTCCTTTTCTCCACTCTGTATACTTTAGCATAACTCATCATGCACCGGAGTAGTTATCATGAAGATGCCGGGGCCCATCTTTTGTTTTCGTTTCCCTCTGTCGCCTCTTCTGTGACGGTGACGATAACACCGTCCCTTGTGTGTTACAAGGGACGGTGTTATCGTCACCGTTTATTTATTTATTCTGAACAATACAAATTGTGTTAAATAATGCATGCAAAAATGAAATTTGAATGCTTAACAACTAAAATTTACAACTATAGTTTAAAGTTTAAAGTAAACTAAGTTTACTTTAGTTATTTCCATAGCATTATGTCGTATGGTATTTTGCTATGGGGACACGCGACTGACACTGAAATTATATTTATTTTACAGAAGAGAGCTATTAGAGCAATATATAATTTAAAACCAAAAGAGTCACTGAGACAAAAATTTAAGGAAATTAATATATTAACTCTGGCCTTTAAATATATTTATGAAAATGTAATGTACGTACACAAGAATAAACGTAGTTTTGCAAAAATAAGTGATATTCATTCTGTAAATACTAGGAACAGACACAAGCTAGTAGTACCAGTTACTCGACTCCACCGAGTCAGTAATTCATTCTTGGGGCGATGTATACGCTTTTACAACAAAATCCCAGAAAATATACAAAATTTGTCATACGCAAAGTTCAAAAATTCAAAAGTTCAAAAAAAAAAAAGGTTATTATAATATTAAGAAATTTATGGATGAAAGTAACCCCTTGGGAAGGGTGATCGCTACCAAGCTATTTCTAATTTGTGTTATGTGGAAACATAATTGTAAGTTATTATTTGAAAAAAAAAAAAAGGCCCGCTGGGTTTCTTGCTGGTTCTTCCCAGGACAGAGTTTTTTTTTTGCGAACCAGTGGTAAATGAAAAAATTGACTTTCAATAGGTATTGCTTATAATCTACATTGAATAAAAAAGTTTCTGTTACTGTTTCTGTTTCACATAAAATTAAAAAAATAAAATAAAAACTAATTATAAATTAATTAAAAAAATTAATTTTTTTTAAGCTACTTGCGCTCAGCGGCCTTCGCGGATAGAAGCTATTGCATAGCTTCTATCGCGGGCCTTGAGCGCGGGGACCGAATCCAGAAATTCCGTAACGAAAAAAACCTCACGCTTCCCACTCCGACGGGCACGGAGGTGTGGCGTTGAAAGCCGTGCATCGTCTAACGTCGTTTCAGTTCGGCAGACTTCGGCACTCGGCGGACTTCGGCACGGTGTTTGTGTGCGTGCGACTAGACGTATGCGTGTACACTAGCTGCTAACTCAATGATAAAAATTCCTGAATAACCTACATGTATTGTAATATATTAAAATATTTTAAACAATATTAACTTCTCGTTTATTCAATAAGAGAAAAAAATTGTTTTCTTATCAGTCACCACGCTCAAAAAGTGTAACTTGATTTAATATCAACGACTTAACTGCATAAATAAAATAAATAAATAATTATAATTGCATAAGTTGATAAAAAATGCTATGCAATAGCTTTACCGCGGCAGTCACCGAGTGCCACACGTATTTTTTCTTTCTAAAACAGAAGAATAATGCTGATGTGTTTCGTATGTAGAGCTTAGAAAACCGAACACTTTTTACTGGTAACAAGGTATTTTATTTTAGGGATCAGGGGTGAGAGCGTGACAGCGCATTTGCACTTTGATTCTTACTCTAGGATAGAAGTAGACGTCTATGGGTCACAGCGTCCACTTACCATCAGGTGAACTGTGTACTCATGTGTCACCCTTATTCCGTAAAACAGAACACAAATAACCAGTTTTTCGATTAACTTACTAGAAAACGAAGTGTTGTCAACTAGATATAGTAACGAAATGTAGATCATTTCTCTTTGATATAATATCTAAGCGTTCAATTTTCTAAGTAAAAGCAAGTCACATGAAAGGGGTTCGTAATATAATAATGAATTGCCTTTATAAGATATCCCAAAATAGCTTTGTGGTTATGCATTAGTCAAAATTAATTACGTTATGTTTACACTGTAACACACTGTCGTTATTACTATATTCGTGGTAGTAATTCATTTACAATACAATACTCTTTATTATATACCAAGGAAGGAGACTGTTATAATGTATCTATAAATATGTGTGTGTGTGCGTGAAATTGTTAGTTTATTATTTTAATTGTTATGTGTGAGTGTCGTAGTGCTAGGTTATCGTCTTCGTGTGTGCAAATTTCCCTCTGCAAAAGATGACAGACAGTTCTGTATTGGTGAAAAACCCTATGACTACTCACTTCTTTTTCGCCGGTGACCCGTGTCTATGTCAACATACAATCTTAAAATACATTTATATTCTGTCATGCAAAATGTAATAATAAAAATGCATACATATTACAACATTTGTGTATTTGTACTCTAAGTAAATGATGTATAGAAAAATGGAGATTACATGTTTATTTGTCAAGTAAAATAAATATATCTCCTAATATATAAATATAAATATTTGTTTGTTCGTATTTTATGCGCTGCCATACCGTTCATCAGTATGCGGTAAAACTTTGTCAACATATTGCGGCGCTGTTCTAGAATCCATATATGGCCCGTGTGAAGCGGGGCTGATCGCTATTAATATATACAATATAAAAAAATACAAAACAAATTTAAAACAAATTAACAGTTAAATAAAAATACAAAAAAAAGTGAACGTTGAATGTAGCACTTGATTTTCAGATTTGTGAGATACAGGATACTTTGAATTACTATTGTTGCCAAAATACAAAATAAGGCAATCTGGTGACAGGGTAAGTCAACTTACCACCCTGTCTCGCCCTGTGGTTAGAGGCGATTTTTGTTATTAAGTCATACTATACATATTTGTTAAACTTATTGTTTTTAAATTCATTACACACGCAGAGCAAAGGCTTTACATCTATATTATTATGCTTATACATTTTAATCTTAAGTGGCTAGTTGAGTGGTGTGTTCACTAAAAAGAGCGAAAGAAGCATTTTTCAATCAATTATTTATTGAAAAATGTTTCTTTCTCTTTTCTTTTAGCCTGAAAGATCGGGAATATCATAACGATTTTCTGCGTGATGATGGAATAACCAATTAGTTTACGTCAAACGTAGAATACCCAGACCCTACACAGAGAACAGTGCCAAAGGCGCGAGACGTCTAGTATTGTGATGGTTAATCTGACTGTCAAGGCTGACAAGTTGGCCATATCCTTTCTACAGAGGTGGAGACACATATTCAGCCATGTCTAGTCATGTCCAGCCTTTAACGGTTTGATAATCATTAACCATGATGATTTTTGTTCAGATACGAGTATGTCTGTTCATTTCACATGTCTTTTTAACTTTTTTATGCTCAAAGTTGCTGGTTACTCCAAAACGTCCTTTACTAATTCTTACGTTGTCAAACAATTAAAAAAAAACATTTTCAACGGTCGTCTTTTACAGAAAAGCGACAGTGTGTATCAAATCAGGAAATAGTTAGCAGCGTCTTCCTAATGAAAATTAAAATAAACTGAGGCTTCCCACTATTATAATCTATGGGGAAGAATTATGTTCAGCAGTGGACTTATGATATGCTATAAATGTTGCGGTAACGGTATGAAAATGGTTAATTTAAAATAAAACAATATTTGAATTGTCCATTTAAATGTAATTATCGGCACTTTCATCTTCAATTTGTTCCAGCTTCCATTGCACGTCTTGCATGACGGCATTGATCCACGAACTGATATTAGGTGAGGCGATAAGGTTCACAAAACTTGGTCTAGCATCTTCTTCGCAATCTTCTGGTCTCCAAGAAGATACAATACCCCAAAGAACACCATTCAGAACTACAGGTGCGCCAGCATCTCTCTACGAAAATGATCAAATAATTATGTTAAAATTAATCAATGACTAAATTGCATATTTGCCTCTTTTAGATTGAATGTATTTTTATAAATATAACTATATATCAGAATTTTAAGTGATGATTTACCACGCGCTCGGTGATAAAGGAAAACATTGTAATGAAACTGGCATGTCCAAGAAATAAAAAAAATATTTTGATGTCTTCAAAATAGATTTAAAGCAGTGAAGTCCACCAATACGCATTGGGGCAGCACGGTGAACCCTTCTATCCCTAAAACCCTCTTAGAAACAAAAGGGCTTTGCCCGAGAGTAGGACGTTGAAGGCTGTAACTGATAATAACTTAATTTTTAGTTTTAATAATAAACTTGAGTATTGAGCACTTAATCAATTCTTCTCAAATATTTTCATTAAAAAAAAGTCGAAACCCCACTTCGAACATAAACCTCACGGGACGAGCTTTACATGGGGGAGAGGATAGTCTTGGAACGCTACTACAAAGTGTAAACAGTTGAATATAAATCATCATCATCACAGCCCTTCACAAGTCCACTGCTGAACATAGGCCTCCCCCAAGGAATGCCACAAGGCACAGTCCGGAACCACCTGCATCCATCGACTTCCTGCGTGTCTTACCAGGTCGTCACTCCATTTACTAGCATTTTGAAGCGACAGTAGCCTAATGGCAGGACGCGAATCGCGAACTCAAAAGGTCGTGGGTTCGAATCCGCCATTTGACTACTGTCGTGAACCACTCCTAACACAAGCATTTTTAAGCTTACCAGGAGTGGTTAAAAGGAATATTAGTAATGTTAATTAATAAGATTACTAATATTTTATAAAAAAAGAGAAAAAAAAAGAAAAGAAGATTTAGTGGGGAGTAGCCCTGCACTTCACATACCGGTACGAGGCTGCCCCTCGAGAACCTTTCCCCCCATCGGTTGTCGATTCTTCGAACTATATGGCCTTATGAATATAAATATACATTTCTTGAATAAATAACTTACCTTACATGGATCAGACCCCAGAGTAGGATCCAAGCATAGTAACGTGCCAGTCTCTAAAACGCCCGATTTATCTTGATAACTGTGACACTCGTCCTCCTCCATGGGATGCATCTGTTGTACAGACAGTATCCTGCTACGTTTGATAAAATCCAACGAGTCGTGGAAAGTCTTGCGTCTTGAAAATTGGTTCTATAATAATGTGAATTATTAAATTCTTAATAGTAAAATTACCTTAAAGGTAATGGTTTATTAAAAAATCATACGAATTTTAATATTGATTAAAACGACTTACGGATTTTATCGTGTTTAATTATTTGATTTTTAATTCCCAACATTTCGAGTTCTTTCCAGCACTCATGGTCACGGGGGACTGAGGTGACTGCCATTCGATATCAGTGTTGACTCAGAGTACCTTCAGCTTTTTAATTATTATTTATCGTCCGATCTAAGCAGAATGTACTTACTGTATCTTGAAGTCTTTCAGTTGTATTCTTGGGTTTAGTTCTAATTTTATTAATTACGGGGTCCCAAGCAGGTGGTGATACCCAGCCTCCTTCTCTATTGAAATTAAGATGTTTTTTTTAATTTCAATAGTGCGTGCTGTACTACCATATGACCATAGTACAGCGGTGTCACAACAAGATTGGTTAAATCTTGAAGCGAGCTTCTATTAGAACATTCTACAAGCCGCCGCAGAAGATTAGTCAGTTCTTACCATCTAGCAAGTATCATGTTCCTATACGTTGTTCATTCTGCGTAGATCGGACCATAAATAATTATTAAAAAGCTTAAGGCACTTCGTGCTAACACTGCATCGGGCCGTCAGTCATCTTAGTTTCCCGTGACCATGAGTGCTGGAAAGTACCCGAAACGTCGGGAATTAAAAATCTAAATATTAAACGCGATAAAATCTGTAAATCAGTTTTAATCAATTATATATATATATATATATATATAAAGAGCCATGGTAGCTCAGATGGTTAACGCTCGCTGTAAATATAACAGAATGCGAGTAACCCGGGTTCGATCCCCGCCGGCATCAATGACGTTGTTAATTGCAATTTTAAGTGCTGATTTACCACGTGCTCGGCGGTGAAGGAAAATATCGTGAGGAAACCTGCATATCTGAGGAATAAGAAAAAAAATATTTCGAAGACATGTGAAGTTCGTCAACACACATTTGGGCAGCGCGGCGGACACTACCTTGCCCCAAACCCTCTCAGAAATGAGGGGGAGGCCTGAGCCCAGCAGTGGGACGTATATAGGCTGTAACTTTATATATATATATATATATTCAAATAGTAGCCAAATTTAAAACTTAAGTTCAAATATATAAATTATAATATACCGTAATTGCAGTTTTTGAAAATACGAGTAAATAAGGCTTTTACTTTTATTTTAATTTATTCCAAATTGAATGTGATTTATGGGCAACAATGTTTTTGCCTACCAATAGACCCTTAAGATGATGTGTACGTGGGCAGTAAAATCAGTTAAAATAAGGCATTACCACGCATTTTTGATTTAAAAGATGAAAAGGATAGAATGTTTGAGATTTTTTTATTTTTCTTTACTATTTGCCTATATTACTTATTCTGAACCTTCTTTGGCCGGTTATTGCAAAATAGCAGACTCTTTTGTTACTCGTAAGTGAGTGGAAAACCTCCTCTCATTTATCAGAAAAAAAAACCGCTAAATTCTATTGGTTAAAATAAATGCTTATTGTTTGCTGTTTTGTTACTTATATCCAGAGAATAATCAGTGGCGGCTATCCTAGGGCGGTGCGAGCGTTGCGATATTGATTTAATTAAGTTACAACTTTAAAATAATTTCACTATGACGAGGACATCTTAAGGTTTTTTTTTTAACTTTACTGTGGAGTACACTGACAATAATTATATGCACTTATTAAAAAAATATCAGAAGCTGCAATAAATTTTACGTCGTGTCCATATCATACCAATTCTCAACGACGACTAATTACGGCCAACATGTAGACAGCTCCACAAAAACTCGTGAACATTGGCCTTGGAATTGGTCTCTTTCGAACTTGACCAACGTGTAGAGTGTAGCACTCGCCTTGTATAAATTTGCCTACGCTCGCGTTGGCTGAGGTTTGGCCAACATGTATTGCCGGGGTAACATGTGGACGCGACTTGCCGAGTGCAGGCGAGCGCCTTTGATTTGTGCAGAAAAACCGACACCGTTCCGAAGTGGACAAATCGTAGCGAGCGATCCCGAGTGGCGGCAAGGCACACTAAACGGACCGTATACACGTTGGCGTTCGTCTGCACTCAGCCAGCAAGGCGAGCGTCGACGAGCAATGGCGAGGCTGGGCAAATGGACCGTCTATACGTTGGTGCTCGCCTTGGCTCTGCCAACATGTATAGCCGGCTTTAGAATACTCGCTAACATTGTCAGTCGCTACGAAAGAAGTAAGTATATTTTATTCTATTGTAAAATTCCTCAGCTGCCATAAGAAAGAAAATCTTTATATAAACTTAAAAAGAATTAAAATAAATAGTCAAGTTCTTACCGTATAATGAGGTGGCCAAGCTGTTACTATAAAATGCGTAACAGTTATTTCCTTCGGTTTTCTAAGTAATCTTATGGGGTGTATAGAAGACGTCCATCGAACAGGTTCGGATAGTTTTAGAAGAGCTAAATCATATTCTGGCTTTTTATCGTCAAAATACGGATGGATCCGGAAGTACTTTATCGGGTAGAGTTGACCGCCTTTTTTGTAATTTATACTGCCAAGACGAACTCGTAGTATTCTGATAGATTCTCGTACTCTAAAATTATTATTATGATAGTCATTCTTTTATATATAAATTTTACACTCAGAGTCAAGGTCAAGATATTTTTATTCAATAATGGCGTAAAGCATTTTCTGACAGTAAAAAAAAACTACTGCTGGTGCTGCAAAGCACCCGAAACGTCGGGAATTAAAAATAAAAATAATTAAAAGTAAAATTAAACGCGATAAAATCCGTAAAAGTAGGTTTAATCAATGTAAAAATACGTTAGAAGTAGGTATACTTCTGTTTGTTATGTATTTTAGATTTTAATAAAGCTAAACCTTTTGTAAACCTTATTCTGCTTTGAACGTAGATGGAACGTATGGACTATTCTTCATCACCTACATTAACTTTTTTTGACGTTTGGATTAAACATACATGAATAACATAATACGAAAAAATATCGAAATAGGGATAGTATTTGATAATACTAATTAAGCTAACAATTTTAATTATTTTAGAAATCATTCAAACAACGCAAGGCAGATGATAATAAGGTATTGATATATAGATATAAGGTATTAGTATTATGATATTAAGGTATTAAAAAATTGTGTTCTGAAATCAGATCACTTTTTATAATGCCTTCATCATCATCATCAGCCTTCACAAGTCCACTGCTGAAAATAGGTCTCCCCCAAGTAAAGTCACATAGCACGGTCCTGAGCCATGTGCATCGACTTCCTGCATGTCTTACTAGGTCGTCACTCCATCTAGTGGCTGCCACTCGAGAACCTTTTTTTCTCATCGGTTGTCAGTTCTACGAGCTATATGGCCGGCCCATTGCCATTTCAGATTAATAATCCGTTGGGCTATGTCAATCACTCTGATTCTACTGCAGATATCCTAATTACTAAGTTTATCACGCAGAGAAACCCCAATCATAGCCTTCTCCATAGCTCGTTGAGCGACTTTGAGTGTCGTTATACGGCCAGCAGTGAAGGACCACGTCTCTGATCCATAAGTCATTTTAATACCTACCGTTCAATAACTAAGCCCTTTCATGGCTAAAGATCCTCCCAAGAATGCGAGAGCTGGCAAAAATTACTCGATGAACTTTTTCATACTCACCATGTTGGGTGGGTGCGTTGGTGAGTACAGAGCGTAGTTACCTATACCACTGGTATTGCTGCTTTACATCAGCAGATTGTAGAACGGTAGATTAGTTTTCAACTTATTTTAAGGAATTACCCGCCCTTAGACGGTCGTTACATCCCCGACCGTAGTCAACTGATGGGATAAATCACCTTGCTTCTATCAGCTATGTTAATTTGATTAGCATATATTCATATTATGTGCTTATATATTCACATTTGTGCATTGCAGCTATTAAAATTTCACTGGTGATCATAGGCCACAAGGTCGCTTAACAGGGCTGGCATTTGCACTTCTTATTATTTCATGTCGTTTCAAGAAAGATGCTGCATCCCATTTCCTGCTTCACTTTCTTCTATTATCTCTTACGTCAACTACGGCATGATGGGTAGTTGGTTTTCGTAAGCCGCCATTACATACCAGAGGTAAAATATCCATACCGGCGACGGGAAACAGTATTAAAGGTGAGATACGTCTACTACTGTGATAATTAATTTTTTATACCGTGTGCTATAATAGTTTGTCACATTACATCTATGTGTCACTGATACGGAGAAGATGCTGTAGCCTGTAACACAGTTTTCAACTACCACGGGTTACAGAGCTTCAATATGATTTGTTTGTTTGATAAATATATTATTATTATTATTATTATGTGATAGTCGATCTGTTTGACGTGATGGCTAACATACATAAATCCACGAATAACCATCAGTGAACGTCTACAAGTTAACAGAGAAGAAGAAAAATAAAAAGAACTTACAAAAACAGTGCGTCAGCCGCCGTTAAAACCCAATTTTCACTGATCATAGCACCAGCACTTAAATAATTTGTCATTTTGAGTACCGCAACCACGTAGGGAAATAGTTCCATATCAGTAACCATGGTGTGATCACTCAATTGTCCATACATTTCTTCTTTAGCGAGATCTGATTGTGTAAAAACAATTATCACATTTGTAAATATTACAAAAATGATATTTTTTAAGCTAAAACTGAGAATCATAGTTGAAGTTGTTACTTTTAAATAACGGCGTATGCTCTGAATGTGCATTTTAAGCAAGTTACACAAAGTGTGTTTAGTAAACTTGGCTAAGTTTTTCCAAACAAATGTTAACAATAAATTACTGTTTAAGTCCATGAACATTGATAGATAACATTGGCAGATTGCTAGAGTAATTAATTTCTTCCTGATTGGTCCCATGTTGTTCTGTTATTATATAGTATCATGTTTATGTGGGACATACAACAAAAAAAAAAAAGAATGTACCGACTATGACTTACCTAGTATGTCGTAAAAGGCAACTAATAGGATATTGGGTTTGTGATTGAATAGGTGATGGGAGTTTTTCATCTAAACCCATATTTTTTGGTCAAACGTGTTCCGAGTAGTTCACTGTTTATTTGTGTTGTTTTATTATGTTTCCTTGGTAACTAAGGGGGTGACGGGGGGGCTGTACCAGGAAAGTTAGGTTTTTATTGTTTAAATTATACATGAATGTATGTTATCTGTTCCTATATGAGTCCATATTATAAGCGGTTTGGCCTTTGATTATATACAGGTATGTAATCAAAGGGTTTGACGGACTTTGATGTGCGTTGTTATATTCATCTACATCTTTGCAGCATCTTTATATATTCCGGATACATTTTATTGCTATAATATCAGCGAGAAGCTCTTATATATTTATGGCAGATAGATAGATAGAAAATTATTTATTGCACTCAAAATAAATGGTACAAATGAAGAAAAGGCATTCTCTGCCAGTAAAATGTGTGATGGGCAGCAGCATCTTACTGGTAACAACTAACAACTCAAAATCATACGAGTAAAGCTGCGGTTGACAATAGCTCGTTCGCTCGCCAAGCGTGTCGGCTATGGCAAAATTCTCCCTATGAGACAATCTATGGTAGAGGCTTATATTCAGCAGTAGACTTTTATAGGCTCTGACTTATATATTGCCCATATATATATATATATATATATATATATATATATATATATATATATATATATATATACAGAATGGGTCCCACATATATGCAATAAATGAAACCACAAGTAATACTAGTCCGTAGAAGTGTAGAAAAATAAATTATTAAATTAAAACCCGTAAAATAAAGAAGTGAAATTTTCAAACAAAATAAATGTTAAAATAAATTCAGTAAAAGTGAACACTCTGTATAGACAACGTACCTTGAACCCTTGGAAGAGTGACAACGTTGCACGCGGGTGGCACGCCGACAAAAGACACCGCTGTCGATATGTCGCAATACCAATAGTTTGCACTGCGTGGCAACGTCGCTTTTTAATGTTCAAGGATTCAAGTTCATTGAATCATTGACTTAGTGACCCAATTCTATAGAGTGTATTTGCTTAAAATTAAAACTCTACTTTTTGACCTAATTACTGGACCGATTACGTTCATTTTTTGTATATCGTCAGCAAAGGCGATAACAAGTATATGGTTTCATTTATTGCATATATGTGGGACCCATTCTGTATATATATATATGCTATAAAAATTACTAATATTCCCCTTAACCACTCGTGGTAAGCTTAAATTGCTTGTGTTACAAGTGGTTCACGCCAGTAGTCGAATGGCGGATTCGAACCCACGACCTTTTTGAGTTCGCGGTCCGCGCCCTGCCATTAGGCTACTGTCGCTTCACTCAAGTATACCAAAAAGCATAAAGCAGAAGCCTTCGCAGCTTTGGGTGACAGTAATTTAGCTGAGACCCAAAACAACAGCTTTTTAATGTTATCCCAAAATTTACTTGTCAAATATAATATAATAAGAAGAAATCAGAGAAATCATGATAGCAGCTTCCATACACGTATTTATATAATTATGTGTTTGAAGAAATAATTATGTGATGTATTACGAAATGAACGGTAAGAGTTTTTGCATTTCCAACTGCCTACCGAGTATGTTCTATATCGAAATCTCCTCCTTACAGGAGGAAGTTTTGATACAGTTGCCACCCTTGGCAGGCAGATTGGCAACCGCAAGTTTTTATTGTTTTGAGTTATTATCAGTGAGACGCTGATGCCCATCTTCTGTTTCCTTCTGTCATCCTGCCCCAGTGAAACGAACTATAGGGGGACCTCCCCTATAAACTGTTTCACTGGGGTTATGTCTAGCAGTAGACATTTGATAGGCTATAACAGTAACAAATAAACTACTTTAGTTTTAAATATTTTAAGTTTTAGAAGGTAAGGTAATTAGATATAAAATACAAAGCGAGAAACCTTAATTTTTTTCAGTGTCATGTCCTTTTTATTAAAATTATGCAAAAAGCTGTGATGAAAATTTTAGCATATTAACAACGCCTCTGTTCTCGGTTAAAAGTTTCGTTCCTGTTTGAAAGCCTATGTATAAATAAATTAGAAAATATTATGATTTATACTTTCTAGACAGTAAATTTTACGGTGTTTAATTAATAGCAAACGTAAAGTAATTAAAAGCAAACGTGTAGTGGAGTTGTAAGTATATCCACTGATGTGACAGGGGGAAACTGAAACATGTGATGGCTCTATCAAACAGACTGAGCTCTTATTAACAACTCAAAATTTAAAAAAAAAATACTGCAATTATGATCCCGTCTGCGAAGTGGCAACTATGGCAAAATCCTTCCTTTGATGCCTTTGTTTAGCAGTGACTTTATAGATTGTAATGGATAATAGAATCAAAAGTAAATTGAAAGGTAAATAAAGTTATTAGTATTTTATCCCCTTTTGTGTCATAGCTCATAGCCTCATTAAAATTCTTAATAATAAGGGGTCATTATTAATAATATTAATAGAGTGGTAAAACACCATTTGGACGACATTGATGGAAACACAATACTTCGAAATATAATTAACAAATTTATACGTGATAGTTTCATTCACTGCTAAGATAAATCAACACTTGAAAATACAATTTTAGTGGTGCTAATAACGGAAGTCAACTTTCAGATTTTAATCTTTTTTATATTTTATAAGTGGTGGTAATGGTTTACGTACAAACTCTGGTAACATAAATATAAAAATATATTGTTATCTAAATAACACTTTTTCACAAAGAAATAATTTGTGGTGAAGTAACTTCAGAGAGTAATTTTATACACTTATATAACATAAATGTAAAACCGCCCTGTGGTAGTGACGTAAGAGAACCCATTACCCCATATAATCTCGTGGATGTCAAGATATCCTGGAATGGAACGATAAAGAGAAATGAAAGAGGATATAGGAAGGCAGCATCTACCTGATATCCAACTGAAAATAACAAAAATTGCAGCCGTCAACCTACCTAGCGTGGAAATTATACGGAATATCCTCACTGTGAGCCAGTCTGAGGAGTGCTTATGTCCATTAATGGAAAGAGAAAAATTATATGAACTTTAAATTTTAAGTGTAATTTGACTAACATATTATTTCATTTTAGAACACTGAACAACGGAAAGGATGTAAGATTAACGAGTTAACATCAATAACGATGTCGTTCCGTATCGAATTACCTGCAAATTGGCTCTAACGTGTCCTCGGTTCATTTCGCTTTAATTTAAAGTGGCGTAATTTGTGTGATTAGTTATGGTCTCCACATTTCTAATGTAAATAACGACATAAAACGTCTGCGTATGTTGACGTATGAGAACTTATCGCAAAACTATATGAAACGATGGAAAGTTTTTGTTGTAGTAGTGCTACGCTTCAGGTATATTATGAGAGAATGGGTTGGCACGACCGGAGAAGGAATACGCTCTTACATAATATCAGAGTGAAACAAAAGAATAATGCTGTATTTTGTTAGTGTAAAGTACGGGAGACCCTTTTTAATGGGAACGAGGCGTACCATTTTAGTCCTCAATGGTGACAACGCATCTTTTTTTTATGGAAGATATTATAACCCAAACGAACACACGGTGCACCTGATAGTAAGTGACTACCTCCGTACATGAACAACTGCATTACCAGGGGAATTGCAGGTGCATTGCCGACCTTTTAAAAAGGAGTAAGCTCTTTTGTTGAAGGTTCCTATGTCGTATCGATCCGAAAAATCACCAGAGTTAAACAGCTCCACAGAAAATTTTTACGAGGAAGAAAACTCCTAGTAAAACGCGCAGTGATGAACTGCCAAGCATACAGATGGTGTGGATGGTATCGGGAAGTTTGACGTGTAGTGCGTTCAGGAAATTTGGCGGCTGGGATTAATCCGAACAATTCCTCAGACCACTCCCCGTGATAGATGCGATAAAATACGCAAAGAGATGCAACATCTCTTCGCAGCGCCAGTGAATCGAGCCGATCGGAAAGCACTCGGTCGTCGACGACTCGAGCCGCTCTGCGCTGGATGCGGTCAAGTGGAAGAAGCTGGTACTGGGGGAGCCCCAGCCCAGAGATGGGAACAGTATTCCATGTGCGGCCGAACCTGCGCCTTGTAAAGTTGCAGCGGTGTGCTGGCATGAAATACTGTCCCGCTCTGCTGAGCCAAGCTTTTTAGAGGCCAATTTGGCCTTCCCTTCCAAGTGACCACGAAACTGCACGTCACTCGATATGTCGACGCCGAGGATTCCGATACTGGCTGAGGCAACAAGGGGAGTGCCTTGAAACTGAGGGGATACGACAAAGGGGTTCTTTTTAGCGGTTAACGCGCAAACTTGTGTCTTCTGGGGGTTAAACTGGACTAGATTTTGTCGCCCCCAATCCGAGACTCTGTCCAGCAGAGACTCGACTTCAGACACAAGTTTGTACCGGCACTCGGAGACGTTTTCCCGAGAAATATTGGCTTGGCCGGTGTAAAGAGCATCACCAGTGCTGTCATCTGCATAGCAATGAATGTTACGGGTATGCAACATGTCATTGATATGCAGAAGAAACAGCGTTGGCGATAGCACGCAGCCCTGTGGAACACCAGCATTAATAGGCTTGCAATCGGAGCTTG